TACTGTCTGTTAACTATAAAATGTAAACTGCCAATAACCCATATGCTTAAGACATCTTATTGGAGGTGAAATAGAGCTAATTCTGGAGCTCACTTATGAGCGAAAGACAAAGTCGTAGGGGAGCTTGTGGCTGGCGTGAAAGTCAACTATCTGTCTCAACAGGTGAGGAAGAAAAAAAATCGCTTTAATTCAAAAGGTCTAGAGAGGGACGTTTATTTCGACCTTATAAAAATAAAAAGAGTCGACGGACTCTTGGAGTAATACATATATTTATTGGAAAAAATGTATTGTACCGTATTTTGTTTTAATTTCTATTTATGGGGACCATAAAAAAAATTTCTTCCGAATTATTGTAACAAATTCTCAGATCTTTTTATTTCATGTTATTTTTACTTAATTAAACAAGTTAGTATGGAAACTACATTTTATGTTGCAAGTGACGTGGTGATGACATGAAAATAAAATGTAACAAATTTATGTACATTCTTATTTAGTGTAAGTAGAGATGGAAATTTAAGACCCAACACGAATCATGACAGTTATGTCTAGGATCCATTTTCAGAAGCAAAAAAAAAAGTTTTTAAACTATAAGGGTTGTGTTTGATTGGTTTGAACTTGACTCTAACGGTTAAAACTTAAAAGTATCAGGAGGTGCTAGGTTCAAATTCAAGGAGGAATAAAAATTTCTTGTGGCCACGGAGGTTCAAATGCGGTGACTCCGGGCTATCTGCAAAGCAGGTGGTCGTCCTGAGATTAGTCGGCTCACATAACGGGTTGAATGTCCAGGTTAATCCAAAAAAAAAGTTTTTATGTTATAATACAAGTTTTTTAAGGTTTTTTTTTTTTCAAGAATTTCAAATTTTTATAAATTATAATACAAGCTTTTATTTTATTTTATTTTAATCAAAATTTTAAAGTTTCATTTTTTTTTCCAAAAATTTCAAGCTTTTTTCTTCTAAAACATTTCAAAAAAATGTATTACTGAAAGCGTAAATTGAGAAAAAAAACTGCAAATTGCTTAATGAACAGACAAAGCCGATGATTACGGATATGAATATCATTGATTTTCGACTTATCAAATCATGATCATGACATTGTTACATCATTATCGATAAAAGAGACACAAGCATAATAATAATTATTCGATTACATTAGCAACATTTTAAGAGATAAAAGACAAATCTAAGATAATAAAAAAAATTCTTGATATATATTATTAACATATTATAATTTATTCTATTTTTTGGATTAAATAATTTGGACATGAAAATATACACTTCATAATTATTTTATATCATTGGGTTATAATTTACTAGAAACGTACTCGTGCAATGTAACTTGATACATTTCGATTTTGTGTTTCATTTTATTATTTGTCTCTATTGATATTATAATATGATTTTGTATGGTTTTGACAAAATGGTAATATTTTTATATTTGAATAAAATATAAATTTGGAGAGCTCGTAAAAATTTGAAAAAAATATCAATAACAGTATCAAACTAACAGCTTAAAAAAGCTCTCTATTTTTATATATTTTTAGTTCAATTTTTTGTTATAATTTAATTTAAGTTTAATAGCAAAGTAAATTTTTTTTATTATAACTTACGGTTTAATAACGAAGTAAATTATTTTTAAGTTTAATACTATAACGTTTTTTAATCATGATAATAATCAAGTATTATGTTATAACACAATGATTATTCTATTATATTTTATATTTTTTATATTTATAATGAGATATTTATTCTGTATATGATTATGTTTATCAATTAATTATACGAATTTAACAAATAGCTTTAAAAAATAATACTCATGCACCACTTACTTGTAATATTGAATTTTAAGTAATATATATAATCACACAGTATTTGGTGCATTAAAAATGATATTTAAGAGTTTAACTCACGTGTTTTATATAAATACTAGAAGCGTACTCGCGCAATGCATCGGGATACATTGTGATTTTAATATTTCATTTTATTCTTTATCTCAGTCGATGTTATAATAAGCGATGATGTTTTTATTTTTGAATAAAATATATGTTTGAAGATATCATAAAAATTTG